ATTAAATATCAGCATTTCTAATTTCCAAAGTAAGGTTAAGCAGAGAGATGAAGTGATTTTTCAAGGAGCTAGAGAGTAACTTGATGTCCAGAATGCAAGACTTCTACACTTTTTCCTGTAGCCCGTGCCGTCTTCCAGATGCACAGTCTCCTGATTTAATTTTGAAGATCATTTGTTTTCTAAATCTTTCTTATATACCTTCTAAAATATTAAGCGCAGTAAATGCTTTATGCCTCTTTGCTCTCAAAAGGTGTTTTGCCTGCTGTATATCTGCTAAAGTCATCCTTATCTCTTCTGCTGCTTCCATGGGAGATCTGGAATGGATCCATCTTGCTCTGACATTTGCACAGTCTTCAGACATTCTAATTTCCTGATCATCTCTTATGGCATGTTCTTGTTTTTCTTCCAATCTTTCATTTTCTTCCCTTGGGAAATCAATGCTTCTGCTGTCTGTACCAATCTTTCTTTTGAGTCCCCACATTAATAATTCATTTACAAGTCAGCAGCGTGTACTTCTTGTCAATAAATCACCTTGCAGGCCTCTGTATCTTTTTCACTGATCTATTGTTTCTAGAGGTATAAAAAGATTTTATATTAGTTGTGTAACTATTTGTTAAATAGATCATTCATTCCCTGCTCCTAATTTTATTGTGAATGTTTATCCTATCTTCCTCTGTATTTAGATTTCTCTTTCACGGTTACAGTTCATTTTTTCTTGACATGAACTATATTTCTTCCTTCTAGTCTATTAATTGCTAGATGGCATGCATCACCTCATTTATATTCATTAACCATAAACATTATGCCTCATTCTTCTGTATCTTTCTTCTCTGTTACTTCACCCAGCATCTTCCATCTTCTTCCATAATTCATCTTACTGAAAGGCTGCAGCTTCACTTTTCCTCAATTTGAAAACCTATTAGCCCTGAGTATAAAAAGAACTCTGTTATTGATGCTGGCCCACTCTTGCATCTCTTAACATGATTATCATTAAAACAAAGTAAACTATTCCATTCTCCCATGCACATGTGCAAATCGGTGTGCTTGCATCAAGGGCAGAATTTGACCCTCAGATGGAAACTATTTCTCTTCGAGCTTGCTGTTCTTCATATGTTTATAAGTGAGCAGTCCAGAGTGGTGCTAAAATTAAAGGCACATTGCCCTTTCTGGCTGGAGAGTCCTTGTAATGAAGCAAAACTCTAAGTCCACATTCAGAGGAGCAGGGGCATGTGGTTTGTGGCACCACAAACTGCACGTGGTGAATATTAAAACATGTGCTTCCAGCACAGTGGCAAAATTTACTACTGGAATTTCCTAGTAGCAACCCTTCCCCCCAAAAAAAAACAGAAAAAAAAGCAGTGCAACACATGCAAAACAAGCATGTGCTGGCACAAACTGAAGCTAGGCTGTCCAGAGCAATTCTGACTGCCACCCATGCCTCCATGATGCCCAAGGCATGCCCCTGCTGCTCTAGCACACCACCAGGTCACCAGGTAAATTTGCTGGGGCCAGCACCTGAAGAACTAGGAGGAGCTGGGCAAGGGCAGTTTGCCCATTGCAGGACAAATTGTCCTGCAATGAAGCACGCATGCAGGGGTGTACACTGAGGCAATTTGTGCCATTACAAGTGCACACTGCAGCGTGTCTAGATGCAGCCTAAGAGTTCATTTTTGCAATGTGGTTTTCCCAGTCATTCCAACAGCCATGCAAGAGGAAAGAAAATATAGCCTTCTCTGAGTAATAGTTTCATAGTTTCATAGTTGGTAGGGTCAGAAGAGACCTGAGCAGATCATCTAGTCTGACCCCTGCCATGGCAGGAAAGAGTACTGGGGTCAAACAACCCCAATGAGGTGTTCATCCAGCCTCCTCTTAAAGCCCCCCAGGGTACGAGCCAGCACCACTTCTCTTGGAAGTTGGTTCCAGATCCTAGACGCTCTGACAGTGAAGTAGTGCCTTCGGATGTCTAGTCTGAATCGACCTTCTGCCAGCTTGTGACCATTATTTCTTGTCACTCCTGGTAGTGCTTGGGGAAACAGGGACTCCCCCAATGCCTGCTGGTCCCCCCTGACTAGTTTGTAAACAGCCGGATGCAGTACTCCAACTGCGGCCTGGCCAGTGTCACATAGAGTGGGAGGATCACTTCCTTGGGCCTGCTCATGATGCATCTGTGGATGCATGACAAGGTACGGTCAGCCTTCCTGACCGTGTCCCCACACTGTTGGCCTGTGTTCATTTTGGCATCAATAATGACTCCAAGATCCTTTTCTGTCTCTGCACTGACGAGAAGGGAGTTCCCCAGCCTGTAGGTATGCTGCTGGTTCTTCCTCTCCAGATGCAGTACCGTGCACTTGTCAGTGTTGAAACCCACCCTGTTCTCATCCGCCCACCCCTGTAACCTGTCCAGGTCCGATTGCAGCCTATTCCTCCCTTCTAGCATGCGCCTTTCTTCCCTTATCTTAGTGTCGTCTGCAAATTTGAACAGGGTGCTTTTTACCCCCTCGTCCAAGTCGCTGATGAAGATGTTGAACAGTGCAGGCCTGAGGACCAAGCCCTGGGGGACCCCACTGCCCACATCTCTCCAGGTCGAATAAGACCCATCCACCACCACTCTCTGGGTGCAGCCCTCCAGCCAACTAGTGATCCATTTGACTGTGTAAGTGTCGATGCCACAGTCTCCTAGTTTTTTAATGAGAATGGGGTGGGAGACAGTGTCGAAGGCCTTCCTAAAGTCCAGAAAGACAACATCCATTGCTACACCTGCATCTTAGGATTTTGTGACCTGGTCATAGAAGGCCACCAGGTTGGTCTGACAGGACCTGCCTCTAGTGAGCCCATGTTGGTTGCCCCTAAGCATAATCTTCCCTGCTGGCCTTTCACGGACATGTGCCAGGATAATTCTCTCAAAAAGCTTACCCAGGACCGAGGTAAGACTGACTGCCCTGTAGTTTCCTGGGTCCTCCTTCCTCCCTTTTTTGAAAATGGGAACTGCACTGGCCCTTTTCCATTCCTCTGGTACCACGCCAGAGTACCATGAGTGCTCGTAAAGCCATGCCAGGGGTCCTGCAATGACCTCTGCTAATTCCCTCAGCACTCTGGGGTGGAGATTGTCAGGAGCTGTTGATTTAAATACATCCAGTCCCTCCAGAAGTTCCCTGACTAGGTCCTCACTGACCCTAGGCCTGGATTTGCCTCCCCTGGGTACTATGGGGGTCCCAGTGGAGGGGGTAACCCTGTCCCTGCTCAGAAAAATGGAGGCAAAGAAATTATTAAATAGGTTAGCTTTACTGTCTAGTGCAACGACCAGATTTCCTAGCGTGTCCTGCAGAGGCCCCATGTTACCCGATACCATCTTTTTATCCCCTATGTATTTAAAAAAGGACTTCTTGTTGTCCTTGATCTGGGTAGCTAGTCCCAGTTCCATCTCCGCCTTGGCCTTCCTGACCGCCCCCCTACAGCCCCAAGCAACCGAGGTATAGTCCTCCCTGGTGATGGCCCCTCCCTTCCATTGGGTGTACACCTCCTTTTTATCTAGGAGACATTCCCAGATGCTTTTGATAAGCCATGGGGGCTTTTGCGCCCTCTTGCCTCCTTTGATCCGTGTTGGGATTACCTCCCTTTGGGCTTGGAGGATCATCTCCTTAAAGAACAACCACTCTTCTTGGACACTGACTCCTCTCCCCTCTGAGACTTCAGTGCCTCCCTGACTATTCTCCTTACCTCATTGAAATCTGCCCTCCTGAAGTCCAGGGCTGCCGCCTTGCTTCAGGCCTTTGCCACCTTGCGCTGGATGGTGAATTCCAGCAATTGCCCTTATAGTTATATTATACCTGAGTAGCAGATACCTGGGTAGCAGATTGACTTTTATTAGTAAATGTTTAGGATTGTGAATCCAAAAAAAAGATGACAAAGCCAGTAGGGAAATACATAGTGTCCAAGTGAGGGACTAAAAATAGAAGGATGGGGGTGAGGAGGGGAACACAACTAGGTTACAGGAGATACAGTGTTAGCCAACTAAGCCCAGGGGACGAGGGAAGGGTGAAGGGGACGGAGGGGGTTTGCAATGCTGAGAGAAAAAGAAGATAGATACATACAAACCCATTACAATGGTCCACAATGGTGGAAGACGTGGTTCGAAGAAAAAGTGTCTCAGTCCACATCGAGTCTCATCGCGGGGGTCCTCTTTGGGTGGAGCAGGGTCATCCATTGTTGAAGAATCCTCTTGAAGTGAAGGTCCATCTGGTGCAGAGGGGGGGTTCAGGCTCTGGGTCCGGTCTGGCGGCGGTTCGTCTGGTGAGGTCGGAGTACTGGTGGTGGCCCGTGATGTGTTCCACGTAGATGTCGCGGGACCAACGGATGGTGTCAGACACCATGAGGCAGCGCATCAGCTTGGCGTAGTGGCAGGAGACGCAGTAGGCATGCAGAACGCTCTCATTGCTGGGGTCCCAGGCTCCAAGCACTCCCACGATGAGCGTGTTGACCATTACATCGTAGCCACGGCCCCTCAGGATGTCGGCCAGCGGGATGTACTTCTCCCGCTTGCAAGTCCGGGCATCGGTGAAGGTTTGGCGCTGGTTCTCAAAGGGAATGGTTACATCCATGATCACAACCTTCTTGGCCTCCTCGTTAGTGATGACGATGTCAGGTTGCATCTGGCTTTCGCAGCCTGGGATGGTGAGGATCACAGAGATCTCCCCCGCTGTGGCCTGGATGGTCCTCACCAGGCGGTCCTGGACAGTGTTGTGGCAGAGCTGCCAGGCTCTGGCGTGCGGCTTGCAGCTGCACAGCACGTGGGGGAGGGTCTCTGCCATGTAGCCTCACCGTTGGCACCTCTTGTCCCGGTGGCCGAAGCCAACGGCCCTGTTCAGAGACAGGCAGTTGAGGTGGGCGCGGTGGAGGAAGCGCCAGTCCACAAAGCGCGTGAAGCTCCCACTGGGGATGAAGTGGCTGCTGTAGTCCCACTTCAAGGTGATGTCGAAGACCTTGCCCTAATCGGGTTTGGCCCTCAGGTCGCTGGCGTACTTGTTTCGGACCGCATCCTTCAGGGACCTCTCCAGGAAGGTCCTCATGCAGGGCGTCATGGTGATGCCATTGGCGTGTGGAGCTGGCTGCAGGAAGACTAAACACTATGGGCATACCTACATGTGCAAATAAGTATGACTAAATTTAATGCACATTAAGCTAATGAGCATTGAGTGATTTTTGGCAGATATCTACACATGCAAAAACTTGAGGCTAAAGTTCATCCTGTGGCAAGACAGTAGGGGGTGCTCTTGCGCTGAGCCACCTGTCTCACTGCACCCGACCAAAAACCGAGCTCTGAGTGCCTTCCCTGGGGAATCTCACATCTGGCCAATCCCCTTCCTGGAACACACCTGCAAACCTGGGGTAACCACTGTCACCACCTAGGGGCCTGGTCTGTATTCAGGCCTTGTGCCCCCTGGGGTACACAGGCCTTGTAGACCTTGAGGGTGCTTGACCCACTGTGATAACTTGGGGTGCTTCCTTAAGCCTGAAGCATACAAAGTAGCCTCCCTTAGTTAACCAAGCTTAGGGAGCATAAAGGCATGCCCAATCCTTCTCCCAGAAAGTACCACTGAGTTTGTTATAGTGGAGAGCTTTATTGGTTAAAGAGGGTAGGTTTGGGGAAGAGTACAGGTTAGGGAAGTGTCAAAGAATAACCCAGAGCAAACTGTGGCTAGGTAGCCTTTTGTTACACTTCTACATTACAGTAAACTATATTTCTAGATAAGTTTCAGGTACGTTACTCATAAGTATCATCCAGAGGATGATTAAGTTTCCTCTGGAGGCAGGCAGTTCATTGTATGTTAGTGAGTTTCAAGATGCCTCTCCCAAGGTGGAAAGATCCTTAAATCCCCTTTCTGAACTCATCTTTCAGGACCAATCAAAGGCAGGTGTTGTTTGATGCTGACCAACCAACTTAAAAAGCATCACGGTCACCTAAGGGTGTAACATGGCTCAAGCTCAGGGGTCGGCAAAATATGGCCTGTGGGCCAGATATGGCCCATGAGGCCATTCTATCCAGCCTGCAGGGCCACTAAAAAATTTAGAAAATTAATATTTATCTGCCCTTGGTTCCTGTAAAAAATGACAGAAACCAAGGGCAGTAGGACCCAGGGGAAGCCTGGTGGACTCCCACAACAGCAAGACCCACCTGGCCCCACCCTCCCAGCCAGAAGCCCCTACTGCCTTCTGGTCTGGGAGCATGTGGCTGCCCCGGCAGTGCCGGAACCTCAGGTAAGGGGAAAAGCGGGGAGAGGGGTGGGAGGACCCCGGGCAGGGAAGGAGCCCAGGGAAAAGCTGAGTGCAGGCAAGGGGAAAGCGGTCCCTCGCCTGCCCTGTGGCTGGCACCCTGAACTGCAGCCACTCGCAGCCCACCTGGGGCTGCCTGTGCCTGCTCCGGACAGCCCCACGGGCTGTGAGTGGCTGCAGCATGGAGCACCGGCCCCGGGGTGGGGGAGGGGTCTCTTTTCCCCGAGCTCATCTTTTCCCCAGGCTCCTTCCTGGGGCAGAGGAAAGTGGCCCCTCCCCCACCCAGTGGCCAGCGCCCTGTGCTGCAGCCGCTCACAGCCCACAGGGGGCTGTCCGGAGCAGGCACAGGCAGCCCCAGGTGAGCTGTGAGCGACTGCAGCAAGGGGCGTTGGGCACAGGGCAGGTGAGGGGCCACTTTCTCCCCACCCCCCGTACTCAGCACCACCTTGTAACCTGGCCCCACTGCCAGCCTGGGCCCCGCACTGGCTCAGGCCTTGCCTCGGCCCCGCACCAGCTCATCTGTGCTGCCCAGTGCATGAGATCTGGGCGGGGAGCAACAGCCAACACTGCCCGGCATGGCAAGTGGGGAGGCCGCAGCTTCTGCCGCCAATGGGCAAGCCCAGAGCCAGCTTGGAGCCCCGGCTGGCAGCAGGGCCAGGTTACAAGCTGGTGCTGAGCACAGGGAAAAGCATCCCCTCACTTGCCCCATGGCCAGAGCCCCATGCTGTACCCACTTGCAGCCTGCTTAGGGCTGCCTGTGCCTGCTCCAGACAGCCCTGTGTGGGCTGCAAGTGCCGGCCACCGGGCAGGCGAGAGGCCACTTTTCCCCGTGCTCAGCACCAACTTCTTCCCTGCCAGTGAGCAGGGGGTCAGGGTTGTGAGCTGCCCCCAACCTGTACCATGGGGCCGGGGGGCAATGGGTGTGAGTGGGCATGGGAGCCAGCGGGAACACGGGGCCTGCACCGGTGTCCCGGGGCCAGTGCTGTCAGGGCCCAGAGCAAGGTGTCAGGAGCACAGGATCCCAGCCATCAGGGGCTCTATGGAGCCAGGCCAGCTCCCCTCTCTCCCTGCTGGTGCAGCCCAGCCTGGCTCCACAGACCCCTGCCAGCCTGTGCCTCGTTTTGCGCCCCACTGGTGCTGGCCCTGGGACACTGG